ATTTTCTGCGACCCCAGAGGTGATGTAATATTAAAGACACAGCACATTGGTTTTAAGGCTCTAGGTTAAACTTTCTGACATCTTTACGCCACTCGTGTACATTAAACCAGTGGTTCTCAAAGTGGGGGTCGGGACCCCCCGAGGGGTCGAGGAACAATAAAAGGGGGTCGCCTGGTGATTTCCAAAAATCTATTTATTTTTATTAATAACAATTACCATATTTTATCCATAACCTAGAAAAAAATAGTAATTTATAGTTACTATATACTACTTTATAAAGTTACTATAGTAGCTAAAAGTTACTAGTTCTATTTAATTGCGATTGCTGGGGTGTTTACATTATATTAAAGACACAGCATAGCTTCAGATGCAGGAGATTGATATTATAACACACCTGGTGTTATAATATCAATCTGCTGCATCTAAAGCTATGCTTTCTGGGCCATTTACGGCACTAACATACATAAACAAATCTACGAAAAATAGACTTTGGTCTATTGGTGTGTGTGCACCATTGCATGCAAAGTTTTTGTATTTATAACCACCTCAGAGGATGCCACTGGCATTGTTATTTTGGGGTCGCGAGCTGAAAAGTTTGAGAACCCCTGCATTAAACAAAAATACAGGCCACAACTGAACATTTACTGCGTTTATACATTACTTTGACCAGCAGGTGTCGTCAGCGTGCAGTGTTTCGCTTCAGGTTCAGTTCATCTCAGCTGGAACTTTGAAAAGATTCATTTCTCCTACTCATTTTGTGGCAGAATTAGCGAAGCCCCTTCTGTTTACGTTCTGGGGGGCTGGACGCATGCTTTTGTCATCAATTAGACACTCTTGTTTGCCAAACGGATTTTTTACACACGATTTAAAGCAAAGCGAAAGGCTGGCTTTTGGATGCGTTTTTAATTCAAACATATACGCATAATTAATGATAATAACATCTAATGATGTCGATCTTAGCGGGGGTTTTTTTTTTCAAACACAACTAATTCCGTCACATATTTATTTTTTCTTCTATAAATAGTGATAATTAAACATATTACTGACCATTTAACTGTATATTTACAATAAAACAGCTCCAAATAAACATATTTGGTAATCTAAGGGATTTTTTAACCGAGCGAGGGGTCTCTTATGGTGGGCATATCCCTTATTTTCACATCCCAATGTTGACAGGTATGATATAAATCACATAGACTGTAATAAACTAAAAATAATATTTACTTTTCAGCTTAGTCCCTTTATTAATCTGGGGTCGCCACAGCAGAATGAACCACCAACTTTTCCAGCATATTTTTTATGCAGCGGATGCCCTTCCAGAGGCCATCCAACACCGGGAAACACATAATGATATGAATAATACTCTGTATGTAAACTTGACTTTCAAGTTATAACAATTTCTCAAAAAATATCTCTCTCATTATTCTGCTATTAAGCATACCAGAAACACATTTGATAATCCTAACTTACCTAAAAGACAAAAAGTTTAACTCATTTAATAACTGATTTATTTGATCTTTGCCATGATGACAGTATAAGTAATGTTTGACTAGATATTTTTCAAAACACTTATATACAGCTTAAAGTGTCATTTAAAGGTTTAACTAGGTTAATTAGTATAACTAGGCAGGTTATTGTATAAGGATGGTTTATATGTATATATATTTATATGTATATATATATAAAGCTTTTTAAAAAGCTTTTATTCTAGCCGAAATAAAACAAGGAAATAAGACTTTCTCCAGAAGAAAAAATATTATCAGACATGCTGTGAAAGTTTCCTTGCTCTCTTAAACATAATTATTCTAATAATTATGGGCTAATAATTCTGACTTCAACTGTGTGTGTGTGTGTGTGTGTGTATATATATATATATATATATATATATATATATATATATATATATATATATATATATTGTAAATGCATTAATACAATGATGTATAATACATCATTTGCAAAGTTTAATGTCACTTTGTAGTATTCAGATTTAGTGTTTCTAAAAAGATTAAACTGTTTAAATAAAAACTGTGTCATCAAAAATGTCACATTAATAAAGTAGCCTATTTGCATGGGGAAAAACATTTAAAGAAAGTTACAAAAATCGGACATGACAATGAATAAACAAGATAAACAAACCGTTTTACGTCATATAGAATCTTCATTTCGCAAAGGCTTTCTTAGAATAGCTTTTTGCGTTATTTTGTAAAAACAAGAAACAATGGAAGAGTTTTGTAATGACTAGATCATGTAGTCTACAAGGTATTTTGGCTGACACAATGTTATCATTAATCATGTCGTACAAAACAGAGCAGTTTTTAGTAGTTCTACACAGTGCCTCATCTTATGATGTGAGCGAGACCGTCAGAAACCGCATTCTTTTCCATCATCCAGTGCACCGCTTTCTGAAAGCAGAGGGAAAACGGCATGTGAAAAATGTGTTTATGTCCCCGCCCCTTCCTACTGCGTCACGTTCACCCGCCGACAGATATGATCTGAATGACTGTAATGTGTGATAAGAGTCTGGAGGGGTTTTATTAGCATGTTAACATGTTTTTGCATCCAAAAACATCCGTGACGCTTTTGTTGTTCAGTGTAGCTTTTGGTTTAACGATGCTTTTTTCAGTTTAGCTTGGATTTTTGATTGTATTGAAGTTCATTGAGGCTTCTTTCCCTTTGGTTATGCCTTTTTATAATAGTATTAATAATAACAATAGACCACTACTACTACTAAAAATAAAAATACATTTATTATGTATTTCTGCTATTGATATTGTTTTTTTGTGCTGTGTATTATTTCGTGCTTTCTTGTGCTAATGTTTTTCTTTCTTTACTTATTGTATTGGAACGGTTTATATGCTGACTAATACAATGTCGACTACTAATATATATATATATATATATATATATATATATATATATATATATATATATATATATATATATATATATATATATATATATTTTTTTTTTTTTTTTTTTTTTTTACACAGACACACACACACAGCTGAGGTCAGAAATATTAGCCCCCTTTAAATATTTTTTTCTATTTAAAATATTTCCCAAATGATGTTTAACAGAGCAAGGAAATTTTCACAGAATGTCTGATAATATTTTTTCTTCTGGAGAAAGTCTTATTTGTTTTATTTCGACTAGAATAAAAGCAGTTTTTAATCTATTAAACACCATTTTAAGGTCAAAATTATTAGCCCCTTTAAGCTATATATATATATATATATATATATATATATATATATATATATATATATATATATATATATATATATATATATATATATATATATATGTCTATTGAACAATCCATTGCTATATAATAACTTGCCTAATTACCCTAACCTGCCTAGTTAACCTAATTAACCTAGTTAAGCCTTTAAATGTAATATTAAGCTGTAGAAGTGTCTCTCCGTTAAACAGAAATTGGGGGAAAAAAATAAATGGGGGCTAATAATTCTGACTTCAACTGTATGTATATAACCTCCCCCCCCCCCCTGTAGTTCCCATGCTTTTCAACTTTTCTATTCATAAATGTTTTCTACCCAGATCACCTGCCATCTTTGCCAGCTAACTATGAACTTGTGTTACCTGTGAATCAGAGTCTTTATTATGCTGAGTCATTCTTGTTACATGATAAAAGTCACAGGTGGATTGACGTGTGTTTGATGACATTGTGTCATAGGACACTTTTCTTTTGTGGAAACCACAGATACCTCGCTGATGGTGTTGTTTACACCCATAAAGATAACAAATGAGGCAATAATACAGGAAATGAGCATCTATATTTGCACAACAGTTCTGTCTGGTTCTTGAATCTGATTGGCTGAGAGCTGGCCACTTTAATAGGTACACCTGTCCAACTGCACATTGACGCAATTTCTAATCAGCCAATCACATGGCAGCAATTCAATGCATTTAGGCATGTAGACATGGTCAAGACGATCTGCTGCAGTTCAAACTGAGCATCAAAAAGGGGAAGAAAGGTGATTTAAGTGACATCGAACGTGGCATTAGGTTGTTGGTGCCAGAAAGGCTGCTCTGAGTATTTCAGAAACTGCTGATCTTCTGGGATTTTCACAGTCAACCATCTCTAGAGTTTTGAGCGGCGGTTCTGTGAGCACAAATGCCTTGCTGATACCAGAGGTCAGAGGAGAATGGCCAGACTGGTTCCAGCTGATATAAAGGCAACAGTAACTCAAATAACCACTCGTTACATCTAAGGCATGCAGAAGAGCATCTCTGAATGCACAACATGTCCAACCTTGAGGCAGATGGGCTACAGTAGCAGAAGACCACACCGGGTGCCACTCCTGTCAGCTAAGAACAGGAAACTGAGGCAATTCGGTTTCCAAACTTGGACAATAGAAGATTGGAGAAACGTTGCCTGGTCTTATGAGTCTGCTGCAACATTCGGTCGGGTCAGAATTTGGCATCAACAACATATAAGCATGGATCCATCCTGCCTTGTATCAACCGTTCAGGCTGGTGGTGGTGGTGTAATGGTGTGGGGGATATTTTCTTGGCACACTTTGTGCCCATGATTCCTACAGTAATTAAACATCGTGTCAATGCCACAGCCTAACTGAGTGTTGTTGCTGACCCTGCCCATCACTTTCTGACCCCAGTGTACCCATCTTCTGATGGCTTCTTCCAGCAGGACATTGCGCCATGTCATAAAGCGAGAATCATCTCAGACTGGTTTCTTGAACATGACAATGAGTTCACTGTACTCAAATGGCCTCCACAGTCACCAGATCTCAATCCAATAGAGCACTTTTGGAATGTGTTGAATCTCTGCCACGAAGGATTAAGGCAGTTCTGAAGGCAAATAAGGCCCCAACCTGGTACTAAGGTGTACCTAATAAAGTGGCCGGTGAGTGTATACTGTATACACACACACAGGTGCATTACAATAAAATAAAATGTCATCAAAAAGTTCAATTCATTAATTTAATTCAAAAAGTGAAACTCGTACATTATATAGATTTATTACACGCATATTATTGTATTTTAAATGTTTATTTCTTTTTAATTTGATGGCTTACAGCAAATGAAACGCTAAAACTCTGATTAAATGAAAATATTACAGTATAAATGACAGCATCTCAGATTAAATCACAATATTACAGTATAAATTACAGCATCTCAGATTAAATTAAAATATTACAGTATAAATTACAGTATCTCAGATTAAATCACAATATTACCGAATAAATTACAGTATCTCACATTAAATCACAATATTATCATATAAATTACAGTATCTCAGATTAAATCACAATATTACCGTGTAAATTACAGCATCTCAGATTAAATCACAATATTACAGTATAAATTACAGCATCTCAGATTAAATCACAATATTACCATATAAATTACAGTATCTCAGATTAAATCACAATATTACCGTATAAATTACAGCATCTCAGATTAAATCACAATATTACAGTATAAATTACAGCATCTCAGATTAAATCACAATATTACCATATAAATTACAGCATCTCAGATTAAATCACAATATTACAGTATAAATTACAGCATCTCAGATTAAATCACAATATTACCGTGTAAATTACAGCATCTCAGATTAAATCACAATATTACAGTATAAATTACAGCATCTCAGATTAAATTAAAATATTACAGTATAAATTACAGCATCTCAGATTAAATCACAATATTACAGTATAAATTACAGCATCTCAGATTAAATCACAATATTACAGTATAAATTACAGCATCTCAGATTAAATCACAATATTACCGTATAAATTACAGTATCTCAGATTAAATCACAATATTACAGTATAAATTACAGCATCTCAGATTAAATCACAATATTACCATATAAATTACAGTATCTCAGATTAAATCACAATATTACCGTATAAATTACAGCATCTCAGATTAAATCACAATATTACAGTATAAATTACAGCATCTCAGATTAAATCACAATATTACAGTATAAATTACAGCATCTCAGATTAAATCACAATATTACCATATAAATTACAGTATCTCAGATTAAATCACAATATTACCGTATAAATTACAGCATCTCAGATTAAATCACAATATTACAGTATAAATTACAGCATCTCAGATTAAATCACAATATTACAGTATAAATTACAGCATCTCAGATTAAATCACAATATTACAGTATAAATTACAGTATCTCAGATTAAATTAAAATATTACAGTATAAATTACAGTATCTCAGATTAAATCACAATATTACAGTATAAATTACAGCATCTCAGATTAAATCACAATATTACAGTATAAATTACAGCATCTCAGATTAAATCACAATATTACCGTATAAATTACAGCATCTCAGATTAAATCACAATATTACCGTATAAATTACAGTATCTCAGATTAAATCACAATATTACCGTATAAATTACAGCATCTCAGATTAAATCACAATATTACAGTATAAATGACAGCATCTCAGATTAAATCACAATATTACCGTATAAATAACAGCATCTCAGATTAAATTAAAATATTACAGTATGACAGCATCTCAGATTAAATCACAATATTACCGTATAAATAACAGCATCTTAGATTAAATTAAAATATTACAGTATGACAGCATCTCAGATTAAATCACAATATTACCGTATAAATAACAGCATCTTAGATTAAATTAAAATATTACAGTATGACAGCATCTCAGATTAAATCACAATATCAGTTATAGCAAACAGCAGCAGGATTTGTAACACAGAAATGTTGGACTACTGAACAGTGTGAACATGTAAAGCACCTAATACTTGGTCTGCGCTGTATATTTCTGCATCAATTACTTCAGCAATCACATGCCATGATGTTATATGTGTTAGTGGCATGTGCTGAAGTGTTTTGTAGCCCAGGTCGCTCCAGCTCCTATATTTATTTAATTCAACTTCATTTCCCGAAGCTAACATACAGAAAGATGCCTTTAATGTGTGGATTCCATTGTAAACAGCGAGCCTCAGTGGTGCTTGAAGATCCTGGAAAGTTCATCAAAATAAATAAATAAATAACCTAAAGCCACATTTTCATTGAGCTCAAATGAATCTCCTCAGGAAAGTTGATCTCTCGTCACGTCTCCCGTAGACCTGCAAGTTCAGATTCCTCAGCTCATTATCCAATACTGATGTCACGGGGTACTCATGTTTCTCCTGAAACCTGCTTCATGTCCAACCCTTGTGCAATGAAATCTTGTTTTGTTGATGGAGGAAATGAATCGTTTGATTTTCAAAGTCTCCACCGTGAAGATTGCTAAAGGAAGTCATCGAATCGTCAAAATAATGATGCCACTGTCCTTCACTGGTAGCTCCGAACCCAAAAACATTCACCTGAGGGAGAAAATACAGGCAATTAGTCAAAATGGGATTTTATTTCATATGAATATTTTCACATTCATGTCTTTTATTATCCGCTTGTTACGTGGTGACATGTTGGTGACGTATGTAATACTGTTTCCGGGTCCAAGCCGCCACTTATTTGAGTTGAGAAATCATTCGTTTATGATCACTTTTTATTCATGTCACACATTAAAGTAAATTTTACATAAAGTCATAGTGTACACAACAATCTCTGGGCTTGCTGCATAACAAATACCAAAATTTGTACAATTTATAAAAAATGTAATCACTTTCTGGCCATTGGATATTAGGCAAGGACATATATATTGCGATCGTGATTTTCGAAAGTATTAAATCGCTTTGTAAACGTTTATTGTTACCATTTCATGAGTCTCCCCATTCAGTTGAACAGAGCGCTTGGACTTGGAAGCCGCTTCGCGTGACGTCAAACTTAACTAGCAGATAGAGGTGGCTCAGTGGTTAGCACTGTAGCCTCACAGGAAGAAGGTGGTTGGTTTGAGTCCCGCCTAAAGCTTTAAATAAAAGTGAAACCATCAACAAAAGCGAGACCCCTATTGTGTTTACAAATACAAGTGACATTTCTGCTTAATGATGTCAGAATTTACTGGTATTTTGGGATGAATGTCTTTCCAAAATACCAGAACGCCCTTGCCTGTGTGAACAGCACTTTTTTCGGTAAAGTCTTTCAATAAATTTTCCAGTTATTTACCAATGTCCCTGTGCAAATGGGACTAATAGCCAACAAAAAGCTGCTCTAAAGTCAATGGCGCTTTTTTTTTTACATTTAAAAGCACATTTGTGATTTGCATCTATAGGCAGATCCACAATGAGCATACATGATGCTTATTACTCACACAGGGATGTGCAGCCGCACACAAGCATCTTTTAATATGAGAAATGTCAGCCTGATCTCACGAGAAAACGTAAGTATTTTACGTTTTACCAGTTTAGTGGCTAATTCGTACGAATTCGTACGAGTTCAGTCGTACAAAATGGTACGATTTTAAAAAGGAGGCGTGGCACCTGACCCCACCCCTAAACCCAACCATCATTGGGGGATAAGCAAATCGTACTAAATTGTACGAATTAGAACGTACAAATTCATACGAATTAGCCACTAAATGAAAAAGTTACGAATTGCCGTGAGATTGTGTTGGAAATGTTGTCAACAAAAACATACAGGGCATCCGCAAAGTATTCATAGTGCTTTACTTTGTTCACATTTATTATGTTACAGCCTAATTCCAAAATGGATTCAATTCATTTATTTCCTCAAAATTCTACACACAATATCCCGTAATGACAATGTGAAAAAGAGTTTTGAAATTGACCACCTGTCAGGAGAACAAACCGTTTTTCCATCCAAAATAGCAAAAATGCTATAAACTTTACTCTTTAAAGGGCCATGAAACCCCCTCGTTTCAGCAGGGTGTTTTCACATCTCTACTTTGGAAAAAGTCAGAAAAGTGGGCGTGTCCAGCTCTGTTTAGGGGGGAGTGTCGGAGGAAGAAAAGTGGGATGGTGTGGGAGTGTCTATTTGGGCACGCGCGAGTTTCAGAGTCAAAATACACACACACACACACACATACACATACACATACAGGAGAAAGTAATGGTGTTTAACCTACATGGACATCTGTAGTCGAATTATTTGCCAAATTATTAAATGGTGGACTTTAACTGCAGTTTGGCTCTTTCATTCAGGGAATTCATTCATGCCCCTTGCGAGATACTAGATATTGGATTCGAGGAACTGCTCTAAGCGTGTATTTTTCATGCAATGTTTTATACCGCATGGCGAATGAGAGAAAAAAAAACCCTCTGCAGATGCACACGGCAGGTAGCGTCAGAAAGTCGCGCGTGTTATTCCGGTCACTAAATGCGGTAAAAACCCTACACGAGGTTAAAGTTTGGTTGTGGTGCTAACGTGTTTACACTCTGTGCAATAGTTTGTTAGATACGACCAAACTGAATAAACAAAGAGCACTGGTCGCTCACTTACCAAATCTGTAGAGACAGGACAATCACCAGCAACTAGAGCCGCGTCTTTATGAAGAGAATACTACAAACGAATCCAGATCTCAGCGTTTGCAGATGAGAACAGCTCTCAGGTAAACAATAATCCTCCTTAGACACGTAAGTTATTGTTGTCGAGCGTCGCGTACACTGTTAATCCACACGTGACTCCAGCTGCGCTCTCACAGAGAGAAAATGAAAACAAAACTTAACTGCAGCAAACTATAAAAGCAACACTTCACGCTTGTTTTGCCAACACAACGTGGCGTCTCTGTCCTGAAAACACGGTGATAGTAATGAATATTAATGAAGTTGCACAATAGAGCTCGCTGATTGGTTTGAACCAAGCCTTACTTAATGCATCACACTGTAAGACGTAATAAGACACACTCTGACACAGACGTCCAGTCTGCACGCTGGAATACACGCTATTATGTCATGACCGTGACGCAGCTTCAAAAATTCGTTTCAAACCGGAAGTACGAATTTGCTTGAAATAACGCAAAAACAACCAATTTACACTTTTTAGTGAAATATAGGTGTCCTAATAGTGTTTTTAGCAGTGTGGGACACATATACGACTGTCAACAGCTCAAAAAATGTGCTTTGGTGTTTCGTGACCCTTTAAAGCTGCCCTTTGTTCATTAACCAAGAGCCTGAAGTGGATCATGACCATGTTTTGATGCTCACGCTTTACTCAAAGCTCTTTTGTTCCTGCGTAAAGCGCCTGCATTTGTCATAACACCTGCAATCAAATATTTGCAATCATCCTGTGAATCCACTTTTGTGGTTGCCATGTGGTTATGTTATCTTGTTCAAACAGACACTCCCTCAGAAACAACAGCATTGCTTCGCCGAAACTATGCCATGCAAAGTTGCAGACACATGACGAGAGTTTTACCTCGTCGCAGATGTGAAGAGCAAATATCAGCGTTAAGAAGCCAGTGGAGGGATATCCACCATGACCCTCAGCCCATTTATCATTCACATATTTGATGAATTCAGGATGGAGAATCATCACCTAAAAACAACGACAGAAAGTTAACAGGACATGGATTTAAGGCATGATATTTAGAATATGCAGTTCAGTGTTAATCAGGCTTAACAAAATAAGCAATTGGCTTACCTTGTCCCTGTCTGCGTTGATTGTTGATGGTACTGACATGTATGTTCTATAAACAAATGCATTCAAATTTAATTTAGATACATTTCATCTTAATATTTGCATACACTTTTTTTCACTGTGGTGGACAGAATACACAAATCAGGCATTTGAGTAAAAGTAGACTCCCTAATAAAATATAGCTCAATTAAACATATAAAGTCCTCATTGTCAATGTTACTTGAGTCAAAGTCCAAAAGCACTTCATTTTTAATCCCTTTTACACAATTAATTTGTAAAGGAAAAGGTCAGGATTCAAACACGGGACACCCTAAATCACAAATGGCACTATCATACACTTGGCAGAATGGAGTGCCAGATATAACTGTTTGATTTTTACTAGTTTCAGCTCAGCGCAGGTATTATGTGCCCAGTGGTGGAAAGAGTACTGAAAAATCATACTCGGGTACTATTGCTTGCTCAAAAATGTAGTGCATGTAGGGTAATGTGTCTTTAGTAAATATTACTCAAAGTAAGAGTAAAAAGTAGCCCTTTTAAAGTACTCGAGTAGATGATCATTTAGTGATCTTTCTATATTCATTTGTTCCTACCATTGTTAGTTCTGTCCTTCCTTTATTCATTCGTTTGTTCATTCATTCGTTCTTTCATTCATTTGTACCTTCCTTCGAACCACCCTTCATTCGTTTATTCATTCATTTATTCGTTTGTTTATATTTTTGTTACTTCATTAGATCTTTTGTTTGTTCGTTCATTCAGTCATTCATTTATTCGTTCATTTGTTTGTTCGTTTATATTTTTGTTCCTTCCATTATTTGATCCTTTGTTCGTTCATTCATTCTTTCATTCATTTGTTTATATTTTTTGTGCCTTACATTATCAGGTTCTTTGTTCATTAATATTTTTGACACTTCCTTCATTGGGTCTTTCGTTCCCTCAATAATTCATTAATTAATTTATTCATTCGTTTATATTTTTGTTACTTCCTTCATTAGGTCTTTTGTTCATTTATTAGTTCATTCGTTCGTTCATATTTTCGGTTCTTCCTTCATTAGGTCCTTTGTTCATTCATTCATTCGTTTGTTTATATTTTAGTTTTTTCCTTCATTAGGTCCTTTATTCATTCATCTATTCATTAGTTCGTTCGTTTATATTTTTATTTCTTCCTTCATTAGGTCCTTTGTTCATTCATTCATTCATTCGTTCATTGATTCATATTTTTGTTCCTTCCTTCATTAGGTTTTTTGTTCATTCATTCGTTCATTAATAAATAAATAAATTAATTCATTCATATTTTTGTTCCTTCCTTCATTAGGTCATTTATTCATTTATTAATTTGTTTATATTTTTGTTCCTTCCTTCATTCATTTGGTTTAAAATTTATAGGTGCAGTTTGACAGAGTGACTTTTTGATATTTTAGTCATTTGAAAAATTATTTTGGATGAGATAAAAATAACAGAGAAAAGCACTGGGACCAATTCAGGCAATATATATCACTTCAAGCTATTAAAAATGTCAATAAAAGTAACTTTTCTAAGCTTTTCAACATTGTAAGTTCTTAATGTAAGTCCAATAATGTAATTTAAAATAATGAATGAAAACATAAATATGAAAACCTGCTAATTTAAGGATATTTTACAGTGTAGACAACCTAACAAAAGTTCTGTTTCCAATTCAAGTTTTGGGAACAACAAATAATAACTTGACTTCTAGTTGATCATTTGATATCAGAAATGGCTTATGTTATAAGGTGAAGGCTTCTAGATTAGGGTCCATCAAGACTCCCAGGGTTATTCAAGATCCTTGGATTCATCCTCAAAGTCTCCTCCTTCATCTTACCCCAGACATGCTCATTATTGTTCATATCTGGTGACTGGACTGGCCAATCCTGGAGCAGCTTGACCTTCTTTGCTTTCAGGAGCTTTGATGTGGGGGCTGAAGTATGAGAAGGAGCGCTATCCTGCTGAAGAATTCGCCCTCTCCTGTGGTTTGTAATGTAATGGGCAGCACAAATGTCTTGATACCTCAGGCTGTTGATGTTGCCCTCCACTCTGCAGATCTCTCAAACACCCACATACTGAATGTAACCCCAAACCATGCTTTTTCCTTCACCAAACTTGACTGATTTTCATGAGAATCTTGGGTCCATGCGGGTTCCAGGGGGTATTCTGCAGTATTTGTGATGATTCCAAATGATCAACTAGAAGTCAAGTTATTATTTGTTGCTCTAACAACTGGGATCAATGACAATATTTTTGTCAGGTAGTGTAGATTGTTATACTTTATAATTATATGAAAAAGTTCATTTAGATCTTATAGATTCTTTTGAAATGTAGTGAATTAAAAGTAAATATTTCTACAATAAATATACTTAAAATACAGATATGCCTACTTGAAAATGTACTTTAGTAAACTAGTTTCTTGTAGCTGAAAGTGAGCTCACTAAACTCATATGACCTCAACTGTCATCTGATCTCAGTATATTAAAGCACCTTTGGGATGTGGAGGAACAGGAAATTAACATAATGGATAAGTAGCTAACAAATTTGTCTACAGACCAACAATTCCGTGGAATGTTTCCTGCACTTTGTTAAATAAAGGCGTTCCTGAATACTAAAAGAGGAACAAATAGAATGCACCAAACAATTGGTCTGGTCAGTGTATGTATAGAAAATAACATGTGTAATGTTTCTCAGAAGTCTTTATTTCTTACTCTGTGATGTGTTTAGTTGTGAAGATACTAATGAGCCATTGCATGTCCAGAATCTTATAAGGAAAGAGCACCAGATGAGTGGAGTTGTCCAAATCCACAGCACTCTCGGGATACATGATCCGGTGAGTGGTCTTAGACCCCACATCCTTCTCAAAACCTTTTGTCGGGCCTTTATTTATCCTGTGATTAAAAAAAGAGAAAAGATATGTGGCATCAGTGGAAATGAATTTGCACTCTGGGATTGGTTAGTTCTAGTCCTTGATGCTGATTGGTCAATAGCTGTGTTTTGTTCATGATTTTATTTCACCCCATGAATCTGTTCCCTCATCATTCCCTCATAATGATAAGAGGGACGTGATTAAGAATATTGTGGGTGAAGCCATACAAACGGACGCCAACAGAGAAGAACCACCACTCCAAACGTCAAAGCAAATGGTCAAACTTTGATTGAAGATTACTTAGTCAATCGTTTTGTTCAAGCCAGGCTCTTCTGAAAACGTAGTCTCGTAGATGTTTCTGGAGACCGCGAAACACATCCCAGGAGGTATGTATTTTTCCAGTTTTTGTGAATCCGCGAGAGGCCGCTGTGTGCACTTTTTCGTATCTCAAATGTCTTTTGCTGTTCTCACGTAAACCCACCGGAGACCGCTGTCGAAAGACCGTCTGTCGAAAGACCGTCTGTCTGACTGACTGAACGATTGACTGAGCGACCGGCCAATCGACTGATCCACCCTCCTCCTTCCCTAAACCCAACCAATTTTACAGATTGATCCACCCACCCACTTACTTCCCTAAACCAAGCGAACAATTTACAAAAGCCATCCAGAAAAGAAAAGCCTTCGTCTGATTTTTACCACGTTTTCGGATTTTATTACTTTCTCACCATGTTATGAACTGGTTCACTTTATTTTTTGGAGTCTGTTTTTGTTTTACTTGATTTCTGGAACCATTCTTCCCCGGACATCATGGTCAGCTCCTCTCTGCGTCTTAAGCCCGCTGACGTACACGACAAGCTAACTGGACAAACTGGTTGCGGCGTGTAAACCCTTCACACGGAGGTAATCGGTCAGTCGGTATGCATGAAAATGAACGGCGTCATTCCGCCCATAGTGTTTGCTTAAAAATGAAATGCAGCCATACGTACCTCCACCTACATAATTCACAGTCTCCAGAAACGTCTACGGGACTACGTTTTCAGAATGAACACAATAAACACTGTACATTTTGATTCAACACGGACTTTAACTGTAAAAATCTTGGCATTAATGACCTATTCCATTGATATTACTGTTTTATAATTCCAAATCCTCTACCTCAAAACAAAGTCATGAAGATCTATGAGACGCCCATAATTGGAGCGCAGAAGGTTCCCAGAGTTTCCCACCACAGCACAGGTCCTGCAGCGATCTGGACCAGCATCTGAGAAGTGATCTTCATCGGGGAACAGAGAAAACAAAATGTCCACCACATATGTGTAGTTGATGACATCTGCTGCACCTTGAAGCCCCTGTTTCAAAACATAATAGCAATTAGGATTAAGTTAATCCTAACTATAATTAGTCTTATTTTTGGTTAGTCTTCCTTTTGTTGGTCACTTTCAATGATCAACACCCAGGGTTCACTTCCAAGAGCCCAAAAAATTTCTGCTGTAACTAGAAAGGTACAATGAAATTTGCCTGTATACAAAAGGCTTGACGTATTTTACTTTATTATAGTCTCACTGTGTTCACTGTTGTTTTACAAGAATCAATAGTCAGTACTGGCCACAGGCGAACTGCTTATCTGGATATTCTGGAGAAGTCCAGAATCACTATTCATCTGATGGCCATATGCCTGACTGTTTCATCATCAAAAACAAAGTGTCAGAATAAGCGATGTTGACGGGGGACAAAGGTTAGTGTGATTTCATCAAGTAGGACATCTCTTTGTTCTCTTGTATCAACATCTATGTTGATTCTGGAACAACATTCCAATAATTTTACAGTTAGGGTTAGGTTTAGGGGTAGGAATTGTATGGTATGGATTGTATTGGGATAACAGGAATGATGTTCCACGAAGAAAACTGGAAAGTAAAGTGAGCTCATCATAGTAAGCAAAAAAATATGTGAATATAAAAATGGAGAATCTAAACAAAACAGAGACTGATAAATGCTACAAAATGCAAACAATAACAGAGATGCTACTGTATACAAGAGTGCTGCCAGGAGCAGTGCAAATGAAGCAGCCTTAATCCTGAGCCGGATGAGCAGTTGTTAGGGTCATGGTGTGTGGTTCACAATAGTATAGTGGCCTGTCAGGACAGCTGCATCAGGTTATCTTTGCCTCACTTAGTTGCTGAGCCTCTACACATCTCTTCGGCTGAATTGGATTTAGCTAGGCAGATTTGATGAACCTCCTCACTATTCTTCTACAGCTGACCCCAAAACAAAAAAAAAATAGTGTTAGTCCACCACAAGTGGACACGTAGGCTATAGAGGAGGTGAATCTTGTTTTTCAGCACCATGGGAACCCTGGCTTAAGCAAGTCAGATTTAGTTTCTTTGGTCCCACTGGTATGGAAAGGGACCTTTTATCAGGGGAAGAGTACTATCTGGAGAGATCTCTATGTTTCAATCCCTATGGGATCTCTGACATTAGTGTCTTTGTGCATTTCACCTAAGGTGACCCTACACTTTCACTTGCTGGCAATTTTTACATACACATATACAATCTGGTGGACACATGGAAGATCCCAATGCTTATGAAAGACTTTCTTCGAAAAAAATCTAAACCCAACTGAGCGTCAGTTTTTTTATTTCACATTTAGCAGAAGTTGCATTTTATCAAACTTCTCTTAGGGATTTAATCCAATCAACCACACATTTGTCATTGTAACCTAAATGCTTTTGTTTTTAAATAGTGGAGGCTTTGAGTTTAGATTAAAAGGCATGTTCACGGTGGCCTAGCAAAGTTGTTGTTTTGCCAAGAGTTTTGACTTGTAACTCACATGCCATTATTCAATTATCAGTTAGTCAGTTAATCAAAAGTATTTGTGCACTTTGGTTTTTTGCAAAAATGAATTTGCCCTCATAATCTCAACCCATACCAAAACCTTTCTTACACCCCCATAAGGACTTTTCTTTACTTCTGGTCACATGGTTTGCCTTCAGGGCGGGGCTATCAGGGCGTATTTCGCTTCAGTTCATGTCAATCGTCTTTCATGTTGTTGCAACACCCATCTTCAAATGATCCAATCAGTTTCCAAATTGCAAAATCATGCACCGCCCTTCAATTTCTTTCTCATTTTAGTACCATTTTAATGAGATGTACACCACGATATGGGAAAAAAGACAATCTTAACTTTCGTTTCATGGCGACTTTAAAGACATCTGTAAGTCAGACATTCATTCATTCATTTTCTTGTCGGCTTAGTCCCTTTATTAATCCGGGGCCGCCACAGCGGAATGAACTGCCGACTTATCCAGCAAACTTTTACACAGTGGATGCCCTTCCAGCCGCAACCCATCTCTGGGAAACATCCACACAAACATTTATACACACACACACACACACACACACACACACACACACACTCATACACTACGGACAATTTAGCCTACCCAATTCACCTGTATCGCTTGTCTTTGGACTATGGGGGAAACCGGAGCACCCGGAGGAAACCCAGTGAACGCAGGGAGAACATGTAAACTCCACACAGAAACGCCAACTGAGCCGAGGCTCGAACCAGTAAACTTCAGTAAATAGTCATAAGACCATCTGCTTGCAGAAGGAAGTTTGGCACATATGAATGACTTTCTCCTATATTTACCCATTTGAATACATACTGTGCACCGTTTACTGTTCAAAAGGCTGTTGAATCGTTCAAAAGGCCACTGGGTGTTGTTGAGCCTGAATACAAGGGCTCTTACAACAAGTTTGATTTGTTTTTCATAACACAACAATATATTTATCTATATCTTTTACAATTTATATCTATAATAGTTCATGTTTATTCCACACTATTATAGTTTTTACTGTATTTTTTGTTGTCTAATAATATATCAAGCCTTGGTCATATAAAAAAAAAATATACATTTGAAGAATTATTAGCCCCTCTGTTTATTTTTTCCCCCAATTTCTGTTTAACTGGGAGAAGATTATTTCAACACATTTCTAAACATAATAGTTTTAATAACTCATCTTTTATAACTGATTTATTTTCTTTGCCATGATGACAGTAAATAATATTTGACTAGATATTTTTCCAGACACTTCTATACAGCTTAAAGTGACATTTAAAGGCTTAACTAGGTTAATTAGGTTAACTAGGCAGGTTAGGGTAATTAGGCAAGTTATTGTATAACTGTGGTTTGTTCTGTAGACTATCGAATAAAATAGCTTAAAGGAGCTAATAATATTGACCTTAAAATGGGTTTTAAAAAATTAAAAACTGCTTTTATTCTAGCCGAAATAAAACAAATAAAACTTTCTCCAGAAGAAAAAAATATTATCAGACATACTGTGAAAATGTCCTTGCTCTGTCAAACATAATTTGGGAAACATTTAAAAAAGGGGGGCTAATAATTCTGACTTCAACTTTAAATCAAAGATCCCAAACTTTTAAAGTCGTGTACATTAAAGCTCATAGGCAAACATTAAAAGCCAGAAACCCCATTATTATCTTACCTTCCACCACTTTAAGATGTCTTCATTTAATTCACTGTTGGTGCTGTTGAGCAGAAATGGTATGGTGCGGTTGTACCGCTCACTGAACCAAGTACCATTTTCTCGGCTCGCCACACATGTATTGCATCCACATGCAGCACGTTTTGAGGCGATCCCATAAGAAGCATAGGTGGTAATTACTGCTGAGTTTTGAAAATACAAAAATAACAAGATAGTAGTAGAGCTCAGAAATGCTGTGATGTAGCGGAAATGACGTTTCAGCTGTACAGTGGTCCTCAGTTTTGCCATTGAAATCAGAAATGTATTTGACCTACAAAAAAAGAGAGAGAGAGAGGTTTATATTGGAAAGCTGAAGATGTATAAGACAACCATACAGTGTAATATACAATAAAATAATCAAAACTATACACCTAGAGTCATTTACTAATGGAAACAGATGTAAATACATTTAGATCATGTCCTGTGAAACTATTTAAAACTGACATATCATTAATGTGTCTGTAAAATTGGCTTACCTGCTTTGGAGAGGTCTTGTTAGGTTTACTTCTCAAACTTGTTCTGTGAAACCCAATCTTCTCTAGTTTTCCCTGATGGTGTGTGTAAGAGTAATGTGACCTGTGCTGTGTTTTTAGACTTCAGCAGGAAGGCGGGGTTTGTGTGTGACTCCTGATGACGATGGTTAGTGCACCTGCTTGTCTGATAGTTTTGTTATTTTAGTAAGGGTAGATGAAAATGCAAAAATACATGGATCTTCCTGGAGTGGGTTATATTACTGACTAACATCCATGACAAATTAGTTCCTGGTTTGACAACAGGCTGACCTGACTCTTTTTTTGGCATTTGACTCTTTTGAATGGACTATTGTTTGTTTACTATTGTTGGCTTGCAGATATTGCTCATATATTTTTGCACTGTACAAATAAACTGGCCACATTAAAAGGTACACCTTACTAGTACCGGGTTGGACCCACTTTTGCCTTCAAAACTGCCTTACTCCTTCATGGCATAGATTCAACAAGGTACTGGAAATATTCCTTAGAGATTTTGTTCCATATTGACATGATAGCATCATGCAGTTGCTGCAGATTTGTTGGCTGCACATCCATGATGCGAATCTCCCGTTCCACCACATCCCAAAGGTGCTTTATTGGATTGAGATCTGGTGACTGTGGAGGCCTTTTAAGTACAGTGAACGTATTGTCATGTTCAAGAAACCAGTCTGAGATGATTCACGCTTTATGACATGGAGCGTTATCCTGCTGGAAGTAGCCATCGGTCATAAAGGGATGGACATGGTGAGCAACAATACTCAGGTCGGCTGTGGTGTTGACACAATGCTCAGTTAGTACTAATGGGCCCAAAATGTGCCAAGAAACTATCCCCACACCATTACACCACCAACCTGAATCGTTGATATAAGGCAGGATGGAGCCATGCTTTCATGTTGTTGATGCCAAATTCTGACCCGACCAATGTCGCAGCAGAAATCGAGACTCATCAGACCAGGCAACGTTTCTCCAATCTTCTATTGTCCAATTTAATGAGCCTGTCTGAATTGTCGCCTCAATGTACTGTTCTTAGGTTACAGGAATGGCACCTGGTGTGGTCTTCTGCTGCTGTAGCCCATCTGCCTCAAGGTTGGATGTGTTGTGCATTCAGAGATGCCCTTCTGTATACTTGGCTTGGTTGTAAGGAGTGGTTAATTGAGTGAGTGTTGCCTTTCTATCAGCTCGAACCAGTCTGACCATTCTCCTCTTGCATCAACAAGGCATTTGCACCCACAGAACTGCCGCTCACTGGATATTTTCTCTTTTTCAGACCATTCTCTGTAAACCCTAGAGATCGTTGTGCGTGAAAATCCATGTAGATCAGCAGTTTCTGAAATACTCAGACCAGCCCGTCTGGCACCAACAATCATTCAAATCACCTGATGCTCAGTTTGAACTGCAGCAGATCGTCTTGACCATGCCTACGCGCCTAAATGCATTGCGTTGCAGCCATGTGATTGGCTGATTATAAATTTGCGTTAATGAGCAGTTGGGCTGTACCTAATAAAGTGGCCGGCGAGTGTATTGTCTGTTTCAAATGGCATATTATCGCCCTCTAAAGGGTATTTCGGAGTGAAAACGATTGTGGCCACCAAACTGATTCCCAGCCAAAGTGCTCAAAACTGGCCACTTTGAAGGGCCCATCAGTATGAATGATTTGATTTGATGTGGGTCACCACACAGCGGAATGAACGTCTAACTATTCCAGCATATGTTTAACGCAGCCGATGTCCTTCCAGCCGCAACCCAGTACTGGGAAACACCCAAACACTCACATTCACACACACTCATACACTATGGCTGACTTAGTTTCTCCAATTCACCAATAGTGCATGTGTTTGGACTATGAGGGGGAACCGAAGCACCCAGAGAAAACCAACGGCAACACGGGGAGAGCATGCAAACTCCACACAGACATGCCAAATGGCCCAGCCCGGACTTAAACCAGTGACCTTCTTGCTGTGAGGAGATCATGCAGCTCAAGTTTAATTATTACACCTGAATAAATTTATCAAAGAACAGGATCCAGAATGTTATGTTTCACTGAGTTGTTGATATTGGATTCCTATGAATAGCCCAAGGGAAGTAAACAAGCTAACTTATGAGGAAACGCTAATCATGTTTGAAAACGTTTTGCATACGCTCTACGTAATGCTTGACTATTTCAACCCACTTTTAATAAAATATAGACTAAAAAACAACTGCTTTATATGTTAATGTATTGAATTAAACGTATAGCCTACATTTAAACCAATGGTTGATTTATCCGTATTTTACTCACACTTGGTTAAAATAACCCAGATAGTTCTAGAGTTTTTAGGCTATAAAGTACCAGGGAAATCCCCTAAGGGTGTGGACTCACTGCTTTTCATGGTTTATTGAACTACAGCAGAACAAATGGAGCTCTGTTGATAACCAAGTGATAATTTAACCACAAATTACTTATGAACATCACAAAACGTGCTTTTTATTTGCCATTTTTTGTGGCAGCACTATCTTTGTCTACATTAGTCTGCCGCGGTCAGGTGATACAACAAGTCAGAAGTCAAATACAAACATCACAACGTGTCTCCTTCTCTGGTGGATCATGACAGAAGGTAAAATCCAACATCATGAACCCAACAACAGTGTATTAACCCACTGGAGTGTGTTAAAGGAACACTCCACTTTATTTTGGAAATAGGCCCATTCTACAACCCCCCAAGAGTAAAACTGTACGTTTTACCATTTTTGTATCCATTTAGCTTATCCCTGTGTTGTGGCGAGAGCAATTTTAGCTTAACTTAGCATAAATCATTGAATCAGATTAGACAATTAGCATCTCTCTGATAATATTGACAAAATAGTTGTGATCAAATTTAAAGCTTAACTATTTTCTTGCTCTCCCAATGCTGTAGCTCTGTATGAACTTTCCTGTTGTACTATTATAGTGCTGTTAACTAGTTACCAGATGAGGACTATTTTCGAGAACAATATCGTTGCATGTAATGCAGCACAGCAATGATACTTGATTTTTATGATAGAATGAGAGTTTCTAGCTATAATAGCAACTTTTCGTTTTTCATTGGTCTTATTACAGCATGTGTAACTATTGAATTTTGACTATTGATTTTAATAGTAAATTTCACAAAACTCTCTAAAAATTTTTTAGATGCTAATGGTCTAATCCGATTTGATGATTTAATGCTAAGCTAAGCTAAAAGTGCTCTAGCAGACCTGGATATTGGCTGAACGAATTGAAAAATGGTAAAACTCATCTTTAGAAGTAAAAATTTAGAAGTAAAATAATAAAACTCTTTAACATTTTAACATTTAGATGCTAATGGTCTAATCTGTTTTGATGATTTATGCTAAGCTAAGCTAAACTAAGCTAAAAATGCTCCCGCCAGATCCATATATTTGCTTAATAGATAAAAAAATGGTAAAACTAAACTTTTAAGGTAAATAGTCAAGGTTTAAATAGTAAAATTTATGACAATCTCTTTCTTTTAGATGGTCTAATCTGATGATTTATGCTAAGCTAAACTAAAAGTGCTCTCGCCTGATCAGTATATTGGCTAAATGGATTTAAAAATGGTAAAACTCAACTTTTGAGGTAAAGAGTCAAGCTTAAAACAGTAAAATACACAAAACTCTTTACAAAATGTAGATGCTAATGGTCTAATCCGATTTAATGATTTATGTTAAGCTAAGCTAAAAGTACTCCAGCTAGACCCAGATGTTGACTGAATGGATTAAAAAGTGGTAAAACTCAACTTTAGAGGTAAATAGTCAAGCTTTAAATAGTAAAATGAACAAAAATTTCTATAATTTCTTTAGATGCTAATGGTCTAATCCGATTTGAGGATTTATGCTAAGCTAAGCTAAAAGTGCTCCAGCCAGACCCAGATGTTGACTGAATGGAATAAAAAATGGTAAAACTCAACTTTAGAGGTAAATAGTCAAGCTTTAAATAGTAAAATGAACAAAAATTTTTTTAGAATTTTTTTAGATGCTAATGGTCTAATCCGAATTGATGATTTATGCTAAGCTAAAAGTGCTCCCAGCAGACTCAGATAATGGCTGAATGAATAAAAAAAATGGTGAAACTCAACTTTTGAGTTAAATAGTCAAGCTTTAAATTGTAAAATTAAAAAAAACTCTCTACATTTTTTAGATGCTAATGGTCTAATCCAATTTGATGATTTATGCTAAGCTAAGATAGCTCCCGCCAGATCCATATATTGGCTGAATGAATTCAAAAATGGTAAAACTCAACTTTTTAACTCTAGAAGACTTGTAAAATTAGCCTGTTTCCTAAAAAAGTCAAGTATTCCTTTAAGACAGATATGTTTACTTAAGAGATAAAATTCACCCTAAAACAAACACTCACTATTTACTCTCCCTCAGGTTTTCTTCTTAATAAACACAAAAAAAGATATTTAATAATCCTGTAATCAGTGATATCCATACACAAATATTGTAGTTAATAGTTGCAGGTTTCCAGTTTTCTTTAAATAATCATCTTTTGTGTTCAACAGAAGAAAGTCAAACTTATTTAAAAGAAGTATATGGTGCGTAAATGATGACAGAATTTACAGTTATGGGCGAACCATCCCTTTAAAACTGTGTTACCAGGGTAAGGCTCTGATGTATCAGTCAGTCATGCAAAGAGAGAGAAAATGCAAGAGTCTTTAGCTGTTTCTGGGTTTATTTCCAACTTTGGATAGGATGTTAGATGTATAAACGACAAATAAAATTAATAAAATAATTGTTTTTGCTTTAGCTGTTGCCTTATCATGGAAAAACCCACGTCCCGATTCTCAGAAGAGTCCCCTGTCTACATAAACAACAGAGTTTTTGTTCTTTGATTGTGTGTCGACATTACAGGTTGTCTGGGAATTAAGTTTCGAAGATTAAAATATCATCAAGCATCAACTCAATCAAATCTTCATGAATAAGAGTCACGTTATCAACAAGATACATGAGCAATAACATCAGCATTAACTGGTATGGTGAAAACATGCTGTGTGTGTACAGGGTGGACATTAATATCAGTCACAAATGTTTATCCTGAAAATTAAACAGAGATTAAACAGGTTTTGTAGCGTAAGGCTCCCCCAATTTTTTTTTTTTTTACCAGAGTCAATATATTTATTTCAGTCTATAGATGTAAAACATCAAATGTTATATACCCAGTCAAATTAATTGTATTTATTTGTCAAATTTGCTAGCAATTTGTAAGTGAAAATAGTTTTAGCCGTGCATCAATTTATGCATTTGAGCAATTCCAGCATTATGGATGTGACATTTGCAGTAAAAACTCAAAACATAAATTCACATAGAAAGTATACGTTAACATTATATTGACACATATGTTTATACTTTCCAAAACAACTAACTAGAGTTATAAAATCAGAAAAATATCAATCCGTAAACATTTTTTAGATTTTAAATGAGAAAAATAAACATGTGTTATGGATGTGACAAAAAAGTTTGAGAGTTTACAGTCTACATTGTAAAAAATTCTGTCAATTAAACTGTACAACCCAAAAGAAACAATGCTAATCAAACAGATGTAAATCGGCTCACTATAGAATCAAAATGATTGAAGTGTATGGTGCGTAAATGATGCCTCCTTTATTTATGCTGGGATAATTTACTTTAAAGACCAGGAAAAGGACTTCTTCTTAGCCATAAAAGTGATTTACTGAACATATGGGAGCCTGATTAAAATGCTCATTACAGAGGAAAATTTCAGATGGCATTTAGAGTTTTTGCATCTAAACTCTTCATATGTACAATTGTCATAATGTTTATGTCAATCTTGTGAGATTTGCATTAAACTTAACATAAAATGTGTGCAATACACCTTTAATTGAAATTATCATCTTTTTTCCTATGACTCAGAAATGAAAATTTGATGGAGAAATGATCAAGGATGCATTCTATCATTAAATTGTATGATATTATGCTTGTTTTTTATGAATTTTTGTTGAGGACAGCAAGCTAAAGTTCAGCTCCTGTCACATTTTTATAAGTAAAAATGTATGTTTCTGGTAAAATGTCCCTTAAACATGATGGTTCTTGTTAAGGAAACTAACACTTATTTAGTATGAATGCATATTATTATGTAAAGTGATAGTAAACATATTTTTAGTATTTAAATATATATTTCACATAACATTACAAGGTGCAAACCGCCCTCTAGTGGCCACAGACACACTTCACTGAGAATCCTCTTTAATTCGTCACTTTTGGTTTACCATATCTGAAGACATCAAACAGATAAATTAAGAATATATAAAATATTTACGCGAAAAATAACGATTTAAATATCAATTTTGGGACCAATAGCCAACATAGTGCGTATATAAAATATGCCTATTCATTTTACATTTACAACACTGACCCATATCCTAAGTTACATCAGTTCCACAGCTGGATAACGGAAAAACTTCAGCTACGCTAAGCTAATAGCCTATTTTGTGCTAACCTCCACATTTACAGTAGCTTTCGATATTTTGTTAAAGTCACGCGAAAAATATTGATTTAAATATCCATTTTGGGATGTACTACAGCGAAATACGTGTTCATTTTACATTAAAATAGGCTACTTTACGTATCTGACCTTACATAACCAACATTCAGATCCACAGATGGATAACTAATTTCAGCTATGCTAAAGATAATAAATGTACAGCCTATTTTGCGCTGACCTCCATACAGTAGACCTCTATTTTGTTAAAATAGTCACTCGAAAAATGTAAATATGAATTTTGTGACCAATATAAATAACCCATTAAAGGTTGAAAATAACCCAACACATTTTAACTCATCCATTGGGTTAAATAAACAACTCTACGTTTTTAGAGAGTAATACTATATAGTCATTTTACATTAAAGCAGCTACTTTACATCTCTGACCCTGCGCTTACCCTACGTCAGTTCCACAGCTGCTCGCAATCAATGTGATTGAAAACTTACAAAGCACAGCTGCGACAGCTATCTTGATCAGTTCTCCAGCCACGCAAATGCTCAAACTGATCCAGAATCAGGTCAGAACATAATAGCACACTTCTCGACACAAAAATGGAACTTAATTAGCACACAAACAGACTTAAAGTACCAAACAATATCATTCCTTTGCATTAGCCGAGGCCAACATGTCAGTCTACTGAATGATTTCAGCTATGCTAAAGCTAATTAACGTAGCCTAATATTGTGTGCTGATTTTCACATTTAAAGGCCTCGATATTTTGTTCTGTAATGAATTATTGAATGTTGCTGACACCATTTACTAAAAACACTTTGCTCTAACAGGCAGATTAATAAAGAAATTAGTTCTGTCCTCCCTAAAACGTGATTTACGAGTAATTTTCCAATTTTCTTAGACAAAATTAACTTCATGGATGACTTCTACAAAGCTAACCGTTTGTCTGTTAGAAAGTGTAGACAAACTGTATTGCTGTCATTGTGGCATTTAATGTAAAAGTAGGTTTGTTTCTGTCCTGCTAACTAATGAATTGTGGAATATTGATAAACTATTAGGCTAAATTTGATCAGACAAGTAAAGAAAACATCAACAAAACAACCAGCTTCAGTTCTCTCCAAATTGAACAAATATACGTTTTGTTTACATTAATATAATGTTTGCTCTTATTAGTTTATCTGATCTTTAACAGTAAACGTTTTTAACCATTTAAGAGGTGTTATAGACGCCTATCAGATTTTTTATTGTCCATAAAAACAAAGTATTATTAATTACTTAAATATTAAATAGAAGCTTATTTTTATGTTAAAATATTTTTTTCTATGCCCCAAAAAAGTTTCCAGAAACGTATAAAAAACCTTGAACTGTAAAATTGAAAGTAATAAGCTTAAATGTGAACAAACGCAATGAGCCTGTGTTGTTTATACAGGGTTTAGCGCTAAGGATATTTTCTACTGGCCGTTCTTCCATTGGACCAGTGGTTCAGATTTTTACTTGCCCTGCCAAAATTTTCACCGGTCCCACCAAGAAGATAAAATAAATAAATAAAAAATAGCTTATTCTTAGCCACATATTTTAAATAATCTGTCAAATATTGCCTGTGAATCTAGAATTTAAATGTTTAAAAAATGTTCAAATATTTAGCAGTAAAATAAAGCAGTATGGAAAATGTGTAGGTATTTTATTGCAAAACAAAAGGTGGCTGACTTAAAAGTGACGGAAAACTATGCAAAACATCACTTCATTCTTTTCGTCGTGTTGTACCCATGTAAATATCCAAATAAGTTTCCATAATGTTAGAAACAGAGGTTTTCTTTTAGCCTCATAATTTGATGTTGCAGTCTCTTTACTGTACTGGTTTTTACCAGCTTGTGAAAAAAAAACAAAAAACGTCACAACATACAATCAGATAAAAAGAACTTGAACGCCATAAGGTGTTTACGACTTCATAGAAAAGGTAACATTCAAAGACTTAATAGCACAAATTGCTTCTCAATTCTAAGACTGTATATATGCACGCAATTGACAAATAGTCTCAGGCAAATAAAAATTTTGTGACAAGGCAGCACTGGCCTGATAGGGCTAGTAACAATTCTCTCTACTGTCCCTAGCATCTCTCATCCTGGCCCCGGGCCATCGGGCAGTCCTTATTGTTGAGCCCTGTCATATGCCATTGGAAACCCTGTGTAAGGCCGTACTTACACTATCTACAGTTGCCTCGAACCGGGCCAAAGCACGCTTGTCCCCCCCCCCCCGTCTCCCCCGACGGCCCGCACTCACATTACAATTGGGGCTAGGCACGCTTAAGTCATCGATGCTGAGCTGTTCAGTAAGCACTCTCACTCATCACAGAGGAGATTTCTCTAGTTATATCGCTTGCGGATGTGGTGACACGCAGTCAGATATTTCGCTGAACAGACCAGCCACTTTTGACGCTCATAAATAATCATAAAGCCCTCGTGCTGCAGGAATTAGGAGGTTTGCTGAAGGTGCGCAGCTGTTGTGCAGTGAGGGGTTTAAACTACGGCAGTTTGCGTTCACTGATTAGTAAGAATGATTCATAAACACATATGAAACAGTCCCTTCAAAGTCACGTCTGGCTTTCAGTTTCGGGCTTTGGCGCGTTTTGCACTCACACACAAGCGTACCGCGCCAAAGCCCAAGTGAACCGTGCTCATGCACACCTCTTCCAACCGGGCCAGGGCTGGCCAAGTGAACCGTGCATGAGCACGATTCAGCGCACACACTTCTCAAATGATCCGGGAACTGGGCCTGAGCATGGTTCGGATAGCATAGTGTGTGTAGGCTCTAAAACCAAGCTTTTTGTGGCATAGAGAAACAATAATTGGTATCATAAACATAATAACTTTTCACTTTCAACATTTTTTCACCCTCAAAAAAAGACTTTTGCTGCTTGTTAAACTACTTATTTGAAATTTCAGTTGAAACACAATTACGCCCTATTCACACGGGGCGTCAGCGTCAACGCTTCCCATTCACTTTGAATGGGTGACAACAGGCGTTGCCGAACTGCATTGTGGATCCGTCGGCGCTGCTTCAGAAGCGTTCCTCGCTGCAGAAGTTGGGACCAGCTCAACCTTTCAAGCGCCGACGGAAGCGTCAGCCAATCAGATCGCTGTATGCAAATACACCAGCTCAGACAGTGGCCTATTGCTGACTGAATTTCATTGGCTGACGCTTCTATGACGATCGTTTCAGCTCCAACTTCAGACACGCCCTCTGTCAAGTGTTGACGCTGAAGCCCCGTGTGAATAGGGCGTTAGGTTTTTGTTGGGACGACTTAAGTTAACTTAATCGAATTGTGTTGAGACGACATGAAGGAATTGTGTGGAAAAAAGAGCTAAATATTAATCTCAGATGATGATCAATCTTAGAATACACGATGACTTTTTTTCTCTCCTTGCTTTGCATGATAAGCTGTTGTATTAACAAGTGAGCAAACAGTTTATAGTGCATGTTGTAATGTCAAGGGTGTGTAAAAGGGATGCGCTTCCTCCTCGTTGTCATTTCTCTTTGCTTAGCTGATCAATTCTATACATCATCTGCTGATTCCTTAGGTTTACTGTCACCGTTCCAGATTCTGTTTAGAAGCTGCGGGAACCAAAATTCTGAACAGATCGGTAGGTTAAAATTTAATTGCATGTCTTTTAAATCAATCATTTTTATATGTCAAACACAGGCACACATTCTGTTGCCAACATGATATGCAAATATAAAGTTGGTTTTATATTCACACATTCATTCAAGTAGTCCCAGTATTGTTTACCACACTAATTTGAATATTTGGTCTGAAAATGCATTTAAGTATGACTATAAAACAACATTAGTGCTATTTAATTGACTGTTAACAGTGTTGTGCTTTGATAGACAGTGACTGCTAATATGATTCCCATATTTATAATATGCAAATAATACTTTACTTTGATTATATTGCTAAGGAGAAAGTCTGAATGTGTGAATTTAAAACCCATACTTTATTGAGGTAAATTTGATGTAAGTTCAGTTGATAAGTGTGTTGTAAAATGTACTATATAGGATGTGACATTTGCAGTTAAAACTCCAAGCATAAATTCAGAGAAAGTATATGTTAACATTATATTGAAACATCTGTTTATATTTTCCAAAACCACAAAGTTGTACGAGCAGAAAAATATCAATCTGTAAACGTGTTTTAGCTTTTGAAAGAGGAAAATAAACATGTTGTTTATGTGACCAAAAAAGTTAGCGAGTTTACAGTGTACAAAAATACTGTAAAAATTCTGTGAATTAAACTGCACAACCTGAAATAAACAATGATAATCAAAAGGATGAGAGCTGGCTCTCTGTAGAGCAAAAACAAATTTTATTTTACTTTAAATTTATGAGGGAAAATCGTCGTTAAGGATGTGACGTCTCTTTATAATGCATGTGACAGATGTGAAATTGGCACTTGTGTGACTTCAGTAAATCAAATATAATTGTTTGAAAACATTTATAGAGACATTTGTGAGTGTTTTTACAGAACTGTAAGATACAAGCCTACTCAAATCGCTATTTTGGCAAGCAATTTTTCATGTCAAGGTTGACATTTGCATGGAATTGCTCATATGCAATTACCCTGTAGACACTCTTTTACGGTTCTATAAAAACAGACTGAGACACAATCACAGTGTATATATAGCTATTATGTCAGTTAAATAGCATTAAAACAGTTTTAATGTCATTGTGAAATGTCACATTATTGAATATCTGTACAAATTAGTGACTACAGAAATGAATTACTACGCTGTACAACCCAATAGTCAACTTTACCAAATGTAATGAGTGTAGCTGAATCAGAATTGACTGAAAGTTAATTCTACTCATTTAAAAAAAGTTTTAAACCCAGTGTTGAAGGTAATGAGTTTAATTGTCGCGTATGAACTGAAAAGCCGGAGGGGGGGCCGTGGTTGATTGGCTGGATGTCGTGCGAGAACTAAAGACCGTGTGGGGGGAGGGGGGTGTTAGTGGCTGGTGTCGCTGGGGCAATTCAGATCAATTTGGAAGGACACTTTCTATCCAAGACTAAAAAGGGCATGTGCACTGCACAGTTTGAGCTCTATGTGTGCACGTGGCCGGCTCATATAGACTAGTTTTATTTATTTTTTTAAATCAAATGGTTTGTTGTTGCTTTAACTTATTGGGTTTTACAGTACTCAGTTGGTTTGAGTTCTCTTCATTTATTGGGTTTTACGGTGCTCAAAGTGAAGTTTATTCATAAAATAATTTCGAGTGGATCACGTGCTTATGTCTGAACACGGTTGGTCTTGCATTAGCTACTGTATGTATGATCCACCAATCAGACGATTCCTAACCCACTATAAAGAGCCAGGGTTTCTCACTACAGTCATTCGATTTGAAGAATCCCCCCTTCCACCCCTACTTCTCCACCTTTCCCTTCACATGGCGGCATGGTGGCCCAGTGGCTGGCGCTGTTGCATCACAGTGGGAAGTCACCGGTTCTAGTCCTTTATCAGGACGTCTGTTGTTTCTGTGCAATCATTTTAGTCATCAGCTCTAATCAAGGTGGAGTTGTCGATATACCTGAGCTCGAAGCTCCCCTCTCGCCCTGCAAACAGGAGGGAGCCCAGGGCTCAAGGACCTTTTGGGCTCAGGGCTCTCTCCCGGAACAGCATGCCAAATTTGCTTATAATTAATCATCAGCTAAGTGGGAACTCTTGAATTGCCTATTTACTCAAATGGATTAAGTTCACAGTACTCATTAGCATTAGTTCTTGAACTTAAATGGTTTTTAGCAATCGGTTTCAAAGTTTGAGTTGCCCTAACTTTTTGAGTTTTACAGTGCAATATTAAATCTGTAATTCTACTGTAACAGAATCATTTACCTAATAGAAAGCTTACAAAACCTGTCACTGGTGCAGAACCTTTTCAAAAAGCACACTTTTGTACTTTCCAGGTACATATTAGTTGCTTAAAGGTACATAAAAGTGCAAATATGTACCTCATAGTACATTAACAGTACAACATTGTACCTTTAAGGAACCAATATGTACCTGTAAGTACAAAATTGCACTTTTTGAAAAGGTTTTGTACTATTTTTCTTCTTCTGAGAGTTTGCCATGTTAAGTTTTTAAGTGCTGAAGAAGGGAACTTAAAGTTCATTCCAGTGGTGTAGTGGTGTGTGCATGCATTTTGGGTAAACTCTTAAATGATGCCCCCCTCCCTTTTTTTAAAGAAAGGGATGAACACTTTGTATTTAATTGGGCCAGTGATGTTTGCACAAGGTCATTTAACTCCTGCATGACTTGACTTTGCTGTATATATCATGATGAAATGAATATCACCAACAGAAGAGTTGCAGATCTTCATTTCTGCCCCGCAGACTATAATTAGATAACTTATGAACTCCTTGTTTGTTTACACATGAAAATGTTATAATGTAAGTCTGTCATCTCGCACAGAGTCTGTGCCAGTCAATTCTTCTGCAAACACAGAACTCCTTGGCACAGCTGATTTGCAACAGATAGTAGCCGTGGGCCAGAGTGTGTCAACAGCATTATAAGTTTAAAAGTGCATTTAGCAAATATTAGCCTATACTGGTACACAGGCTTAAAGGATAAAAATAAGATGCATTCAAACTAGGGCGAGCATCATGTTTAAAAATGAGATTAGCTTACTTTAAAGCAAACATTAAGATATAATTACAATATATTCAAACATTATGCTACGCAAACTGTTTGATTATAAATAATACCTGAAATGAAAAGCCTTGCTCATTTTTGGCTAAGATAACAGGAAAAATGGTGGGCAAGTTTTTATTATGATATAACACAATTAGTTCTGTTCTCACGATTTCTTCCCACCCAGCACGAGACGTCTTTTCGACGAACTTTTGCTGGGTGGGTTGTCAGAGCAATGACGTCGAGTGTTATTGTTATTTTCATTCTTGTTGCTGGATCAGAGCTCTGAGGAAACCATAGATATATACATTAGATGTCGCCTGGCCTGTTGTTGTCTATTGGACGGAATGAGTCAATTGGGCCGCCATCTTGCTACAGGGTAGCGCTCCTTTGAAATGAATGCGGGACCAAGGTACAGTGGAGGACTGTGGCCATGCAAAGCCAGAGATATACACATATACACATATATCTATGATCGGGAGTTTTCCTGGATGTTAGTATGTATTTTTTTTTTCTAATTACGAAAATTATAATTTTACATCACTTTTCTACATTGATGGATCAGTGACCGCACGGGCATTCCTGACAAAAAGCTTGTGTTTGTGTGTACAGAAATATACTATCCGCCCTCCCTGTTAAATTTAATATAATCCGTGTCCTGAAACACATCTCCTCTCCTGCTTCTCCTCACTTCTCATACTGACAGAGGGAGCGATTAGTTTGTGAATGAATCCCCCGAATGACTCTTTCACTAACGTTAGCCGACAATAATACAAGTTTCTGGCAGCGCAGCATCTCGTTGTCATATGTCCTTTGCTTTATTTGCTGATTTTATTCAACAAAACTAGCATAAGCCGAGTGTTTAGTGCGAGTTGGAGCTGCTTTGCCGTATGGTGAATGCAGTAAGTGACTGTATTATCATCAATAACGTTACCTGATTAGCACAAAAGTTCAGAACATACAAAAACAGAAAAAAATACCTATGAAATGTTCTGCCTTTGTGCTTTGTTTTCTTTGTTTGCTCGTTACTACACCCGTAGACAGCGCTAAAGTCCCGCATCTTCACGTAATAACTTGACTAGTGCGGTTGAATGACACTTGTCCTGGGAGCACTGTAACAATGTGGCGGCGCTATTGACGCATGCTCAGGGTCCCTATGCGATATCTAGTGTATATATCTATGTGAGGAAACTAGGAGCATGCGCAAAACAATGAAACCATCGCAATGTATGAAACTTAAAAACGAAGCTAGTTTAAATGTACTCAATAATGCGAACGTAGAAAATACAAAGTTAATAACATTTAATAGTGCCAACTTTTTATAATTATGCTCCAGCTTTTTAATGATTAACATAATAAATAGCACTAACTATGCTTTATTTTTATTTTTTCAGTTGTAAATATGTTTCCCTTCAGTAGATTTCCATACGTGACGGCTCTCTTCTCTTGTGGCATCTTCTTGCTGTTTATCTTCCTTCAAAACACGGTGATTTACAACTCCCTTCAAACGGTTTACTCCACCGGAGGTCTGTGCGCCTGTAATAAATGTGTGATGGATCTGAACGACGAAGACTGGTTCTTCATTCGCTTTAACCCTACAGTTCCAACTCTGCTGAACAGGAGAAACAGCGCAATGCGGTCGGACGTCTTCGAGTGGTGGCAGGTAGCTACACAGCTTTTAAATAAGTTCATGATATTTTTTGGTAATCCTAATTAGGGAAATCATATAAACAGCCATTGACTATTAAGAGCAACAGTGTTTACAGTCAATTAAATAGTGCTAATGTTTTGAAGTCATACTAGCATGTGATTTCAGACTGGATATTCAAAGTAGATTAGCATGGTTAACAATATAGGGAGTGTGTCACTGAACGAATGTGTGAATATAAAACCAGCTTTACCTCAGTGGGAGACTCTGATGCTGATAAAACCCCATTTCCGCCACTGAGAGAAAAAAAAGATTATAAAGTCAGAATACTGGGTTTTAAAGTCAGAATTGCGAGTGAAGTCAGAATTGCTGGTTATAGTCAGAATTCTGAGTTTAATGTCAGAATTGCGAGTTACATAGTCAGAATTGCGAGTTAAGTTAGAATTGCGAGTCAAAGTCAGAATTGTGAGTTATAAAGTCATAATTTCGAGTTATAAAGTCAGACTTGTGAATTATAAAGTCAGAATTGCGAGTTACAAAGTCAGAATTGTGAGTTAAGTTAGAATTGTGAGTTATAAAGTCAGAATTGTGAGTTAAGTTGGAATTGTGAGTCATAAAGTCAGAATTGTGAGTTATAAAGTCAGAATTGCGAGTTAATTTAAAACTGTGAGTCATAAAGTCAGAATTCTGAGCTATAATGTCAGAATTACGAGTTATAAAGTCAGAATTGTGAATTATAAAGTCAGAATTGCGAGTATCAAAGTCAGAATTGCGAGTCAAAGTCAGAACTGTGAGTTATAAAGTCAGAATTACGAGTTATAAAGTCAGAATCGATAGTTTTAAAGTCAGAATTGCAAGTTAAGTTAGAATTGTGAGTTATAAAGTCAGAATTGTGAGTTATAAAGTCAGAATTGTGAGTTAATTTAAAACTGTGAGTCATAAAGTCAGAATTCTGAGCTATAATGTCAGAATTACGAGTTATAAAGTCAGAATTGTGAATTATAAAGTCAGAATTGCGAGTATCAAAGTCAGAATTGCGAGTCAAAGTCAGAACTGTGAGTTATAAAGTCAGAATTACGAGTTATAAAGTCAGAATCGATAGTTTTAAAGTCAGAATTGCAAGTTAAGTTAGAATTGTGAGTTATAAAGTCAGAATTGTGAGTTATAAAGTCAGAATTGTGAGTTAATTTAAAACTGTGAGTCATAAAGTCAGAATTCTGAGCTATAATGTCAGAATTACGAGTTATAAAGTCAGAATTGTGAATTATAAAGTCAGAATTACGAGTTATAAAGTCAGAATTACGAGTTATAAAGTCAGAATTGCGAGTTATAAAGTCAGAATTGCGAGTTATAAAGTCAGAATTGCGAGTTATAAAGTCAAAATTCTGAGCTATAATGTCAGAATTACGAGTTATAAAGTCAGAATTGTGAATTATAAAGTCAGAATTGCAAGTTATAAAGTCAGAATTGCAAGTTATAAAGTCAGAATTACGAGTTATAAAGTCAGAATTACGAGTTATAAAATCAGAATTATGAGTTATAAGGTCAGAATTACGAGTTATAAAGTCAGAATCGCAAGTTATAAAGTCCGAATTCTTAGTTATAATGTCAGAATTGCAAGATAAAAAGTCATTTAAAAGGGTAATTTTAGAAAAAGTCAACCAATTTCCAGATGAAAAAACTGTGTACGGATCATTTTTGACCCATTAGTCAATATGGTTAACCTTCTTATGCTTTTGTGCTGTTTTGTTGGACTGTTTGTTTCTCTTGTCCTCGTTTGTAAGTTGCTTTAGGGAAATTTGTCTAAATGATGAAATGTAAATTCATGTCTTGTCTGTGGAGAGGTCAGCACCATAAAATGTTCATTCAATGAACTGACAGGATGTCCTACCTGCATGTCAAATACCTAGGTATTTGTATAACTTTCACTCTGTTTGCATAGACAGACATGTACCAGACACTATGCAGACTGAGAATGGAAGACACACAGCACATTCCTTATGTTCATCTAAACCAACAACACCTGGGCCCGGTTTTTCAAAAGGTTTAATCCAGATAAAATAGACCTGGGTTTAGTAATCCTGTTTTTGCGATCCATGATCACGTAATCCAGCTTACTTTTTGAGCCAGTTTTTCAAAGCAACATCGGATAGGAATTTTTCAGGATCACTAAATCTGGATTATGAGTGCTCAAACAGGATAGGAAATCACAATGTAGAACTATAGATTGGTAAAGAGCAACAAGTAGAATAGCCAGTGTGGGGTCAATTTTTAATTTTGAAAAGACACGCACATTAAAAAAAAAAAAAAAAATCCTTTTTTAGCAGTCCGCTCATCTGAGACCTACAACACAAACACTGTACATTGAGGATGTTTATAACAAGTTTCAAATATAGATGTATTGAATTAAAAAAGACTTGTCAAAAATCCTTTGTCCAAAATCCTGGTGGATTACTTTTGAAAAAACGTGATTATAAGCAACCATCACAGTTATTAACGTCTACACCTTCCCCAAACCTAAACCCAACCATCACAGTTATTAACGTCTACACCTTCCCCAACCCTAAACCCAACCATCACAGTTATTAACGTCTACACCTTCCCCAACCCTAAACCCAACCATCACAGTTATTAACGTCTACACCTTCCCCAACCCTATACCCAACCATTATCGTTATTAATGTCTACACCTTCCCCAACCCTAAACCCAACCATCACAGTTATTAACGTCTACACCTTCCCCAACCCTAAACCCAACCATCATCGTTATTAACGTCTAAACCTTCCCCAACCCTAAACCGAACCATCATCGTTATTAACGTCTACACCTTCCCCAACCCTAAACCCAACCATCATCGTTATTAACGTCTACACCTTCCCCAACCCTAAACCCAACCATCATCGTTATTAACGTCTACACCTTCCCCAACCCTAAACCCAACCATCATCGTTATTAACGTCTAAACCTTCCCCAACCCTAAACCCAACCATCATCGTTATTAACGTCTAAACCTTCCCCAACCCTAAACCCAACCATCATCGTTATTAACGTCTACACCTTCCCCAACCCTAAACCCAACCATCATCGTTATTAACGTCTAAACCTTCCCCAACCCTAAACCCAACCATCATCGTTATTAACGTCTACACCTTCCCCAACCCTAAACCCAACCATCATCGTTATTAACATCTACACCTTCCCCAACCCTAAACCCAACCATCACAGTTATTAACGTCTACACTTTCCCCAACCCTAAACCCAACCATCATCGTTATTAACGTCTTCACCTTCCCCAACCCTAAACCCAACCATCATCGTTATTAACGTCTTCACCTTCCCCAACCCTAAACTTAACTGTCACAGTAGCATGGGCATTTACTTAGTGAGCGTAATAATGTCCACTATTTATTGGAACTGGTCCAGTATGTCATGCTACAGACTTCAGCAAGGACATCTTAAATGATTTACCAAATCTGAAGTTCTGATTCTTAAACACATGGTGGCAGCATTGCAGGATATATTTTTATATATGTGCTTTACACTAATAAGATGAATCATATTTCTGGATTTTTGTTATGCTACAATAATGCTACAATATTGTTTATTTTATTTAATTTGATTAAATGAATAATAATGCAAAGAAATTAATTCTTAAGTTATTATAGTACCTCAAATAGTCATCAAATCACTTTTATCGTCACATCAGCACCAGCATGTGTACTATGATGAATGAAAAGATTAGTTGCTGGTTCCAGACAGTGCAAAATACAGACATACTCCGAAAAAAAATAAATAAACAATATACTATTAGCAATATTGACGATAAATATGTAAAAGACAATAAATGCGTAAAGAAACACATTAAACACATGTAGACACAGATAGATAAGTACACAGTCAAAAAGGTGTACACATAGTTATCTAATAGTAATGTCTTTAGAATAAAATTGCACCATTGTAATGGTGATTTGTGCAAGAGCTGCATTTTAAAATGCCTTCAGGATCCTTTTTTGGGAGCTCTGAAACCTTATCCTTTAACATTCTTATAGGGTCTGCAATCTGATTCACAAAAGGCTAATTTCTCAGATGTGGTGGACATATTGTTTTCTCTGTTCCCCGATGAAGAACACTATGTAGTCACTGATCCAAATCGATGCAGGATCTGCGCTGTGGTGGGAAACTCTGGGAACATCTTGGGATCCCATTATGGTCAACTAATAGACAGCCACGATTTTGTCATAAGGCAAGTTGTTGGAAATATAAATCATAAAACTAAAAAAAAAAAAAGTTAAAATTGATTGTCTATGCTCATTCCCAAGGATAAATAAAGGCCCAACTAAAGGCTATGAGACGGATGTGGGGTCTAAGACCACTCACCGGATCATGTATCCCGAGAGCGCTATGGATTTGGACAACTCCACTCATCTGGTGCTTCTGCCCTTTAAGGTCAAAGACATGCAGTGGCTCATCAGTGTTTTCACTACAAAACACATCACAAGGTATGATTGCTTGATGAATATTTGAATAGATGACAGATATATAATATATATAATATAATATATTTTATAAAATATAGCGGTTAACTTACACTACCTGACAGATCTTGTCGTCGATGCCAGTTGTAAGAGCAACAATTTATAACTTGACTTCTAGTTTCTGATTAATCATCTGTTGAGCTGCATCCCAATCGTCACAAAAACTGCAAGATTCTCACAGAAATCAGTCAAGTTTGGTGAAGGAAGAATTATGGTTTGGGGTTACATTCAGTATGGGGGTGTGCGAGGGATGGCAACATCAACAGCTTGAGGTATGAAGACCATCCAAGCTCATGGGAGTCATACAAAATATTTGTTCTTGTTCCACTGCACCATGCCTTTATATTCTATACTGGACATTATTTCTGTTAAGTGACAAGACTTTTGTCTTTTTTTTTTTGTAAGTCAGAGCTTACTGTCCTAATTAAATTATTAAAAATCAAGGCATGATCATGTTTTATTTTGGTAAAATAAGCGTAATCTAGAGGCCTTTGGCTTTTATAAGCCACTTCTGATACCAAATGATCAACTAGAAGTCAAGGTATTATTTGTTGTTCCTTAAAACATGGATTGACAACAAGATTTTTGTGAGGTAGTGTAAGTTGGCATCAGTAGTCTTGCATATTGTGCTGTATTTCCAAGTGAAATGGCTTCTTAAACTAGAAATAAGTCATTTTTGTCCATTGGTAATTGATTGAGGGGACCTTGGTAGCAACAATATAGCAAAATGGTCATTCGCAATAGTCACATCGTATGATAATAATATAATAATAATAATATAATATTTCATATTTTTAATATAATAATTCAGGCATAAATTGTAAATTTTTTTACTTCAATAATGATTAATTACATTGATTCATTTAATAAGTTTTATTATAGATTTACATAAGGCATTTGATACAATAAATCATAATATATTGGTAAATAAATTAGAAACTTATGGTATTAGAGGAGTAGCCTTGAACTGGATAAGCACTTATTTAAAAAATAGGCAACAGTTTGTGGAAATTGGCAACCACAAATCATCATATCTAAATGTAAGTTGTTGCATACCACAAGGATCAGTTTTAGGTCCAATATTGTTTATAATTTACATATGTGTAAGATATCAGAGTTGTTTATTTTTATTTCATTTGCAGATGATACGAGTATCCTTTGTTTTGAGGATCATTTTCCAAAACTTATGGAGTTGATTAAAACAGAAATGAATAAATTGAAATTAGGGTATGGCGTAAACAAATTGTCTCTAAATACGAGTAAAACACAGGTTATGTTGTTTGGGTAATTAAAAAGTAGTTATAATATAGATTTAAAAATTGATAATATAAAGAAAGTATATGCAATTAAGTTTCTTGGTGTTGTATTGGATCATAAAATTGGTTAGAAACCACAAATAAATAACGTGATATCAAAATTAGTAAAAACTGTAGCAATAATGTATAAAGCAAGATTTATCCTGCACAATAAATCAATGTAAATGTATATATTATATAACACACTTATGTTGCCAAATATGAGTTATTGTGTTGAAGTTTGGGGGAATACATATAAATCTAATTAACGATCCGTAAGTACAATGCAGAATAAAGTAATTAGACTAATAGAAAATGTGGGGTATTTGGAGCATACAAATCCTTTATTTTTAAATTAAAGAAGTTCAATGATTTGGTTAGATTTAAAGAACAGCATAACTTATGTTTAAAGCTAAGAATAAAGTACTTCCGAAATGCATACAAAAGTTTTTTGAAGAAAGACAAGGGGGGTATAATGTGAGAGAAGAACTAAATTTTAGGAGGTTGAAAACAAAGACAACTTTAAAAAGTTTGTGCATGTCTGTCTGTGGTGTAAAACTATAGAACAGTCTAGATCAGACTCTCAAACAATGTCAGCATAATAATCCATTAAAAAAGTTAATATATATAAAATATTATAAATATATAAAATATATTTATAATAATATAAATATGTATTAAAGGAATATAATGATGAAGGCGATTTGAAAAAGGATAATGAGTAATTTGCAGTACTATGCATTTTTTTTCTTTGGGTCTGTTACAAAATGCAAAGGTACAAATGGAGTCAAACATTTAATAAGTCAAAGATGTTAAAAGGATAAAATATGTTTCATATAAAAAGAAGAGAAATAAGTTGAAGTAATTGACAAGTGATGGATGTGGTAATGGGGTGGGAAAACAATAAGCTTGTGCTTCATCCCACTCCATTTTCAACCATGTTGAAATGTATTTATTGTTAATGATATTTAATGTGTGATATTTTTGTTCAAAAATAAATAAATCAATTTAAATTACTGTACCTAAATACTGTTAGACTCAAAAATAAATCCAGATTAAACTGTTTATTTCAGGTGTATTTTTTCATAACTGTAAATATGCTTGTAGATTTGTTATGATTTTTTTTGCAGATGCACATCTCTACAGAATCATCCCTGTCAATCTAAAATGATCAATTCTCAAGTCATCTGATGAAATTGTAGTAATATGGCAATATGTATCGCAGAATAACAAAATATCGCAATGTTAGTTTTTCCAATATCATGCAGCCAAAGATGATTTGCTATTGGTTAATTATAAATGTAAACTATATGAGGTCGACCAACAGCAAACCACATTCCCCCAATCAATTTCCAATGGACAAAATCTAAATTTTCTAGTTTGAGAAGACTTTTCACTTCTTTTTTTTTTCCCGCCTCTGTGCCAGAACATGTAATTCAATTCAGTTTAAGTTTATTTGTTTAGTGCTTTTCACAATAAATAACAGTCCAAATCTGTTTTACAAAAGGTAGACGTTATCAGCCTACTTAACTCAACATCTGAAAAATTAAGGAGTTGTGTATATGGTGAACAGTATAAAAACATAGTTAACCTGCAGCGGTACAGTATAGTGTCTTTTCCACAAAGGTGACGTCTATGTGTATAATACATTTTCAATCAAGTGTATTTGTGTATTGCTTAAGATTGTGTGTTGTCCTTAAAAACCTCATGGGGCTTGACATCAGAGAAAAGAAGTCATTAGGTGTGCCCTAAATCTTATACTTAGGCATGATTTGAAGCCATTTTTTTATGTAAATAGTGTGACAAGTGCTCTCACATAAAAAAGTAAATAAATATACATAATAACTGCACCTTTAAATTGAAATACCTGGATGACTCACAAAACTAAGGAACTGAAACTAAAACTAAATACCTGCTTGAGCTCATTAAACTAAGGAATGTTGAATTGCATGAAAACAAAACAAAATAGTTTACAAAATTAAGTTGTGTGATAAAATGTAATGACACATGGAAAAAGTATTGCACATAAGGAAATGGAGGTGTAGAAACGCCCAGATAGCAGCTGAAGTCTCTAATTATTTATTCAGCAACACTTTGCTATTTATCATAATCAGGGCTTGACATTTTTTTGATCACCAGCCACTGTGGCTAGTAGTTTTCCAATGTTACTAACCACTCGCCATTTTCGCTAGCCACAATTTTGTTGTTGGGAAAATATATTTTATATGCATGAATATGACTTTGACAAGCTAAAATTACTTGATTTAGATTTTGTGGAATGTCCACATGCCTTCTAATTCATTTTAGTTTTTGTGTATGTTGTGTATGAGCTTGCTCAGTGAGCATTAGCACATGGTTCATGGTTTCATAGTGTTGTATTACAATTAGTTTTTATTTATTAGTTTTTTTTTTCAGAGTTCGAAGGATTTACCAAATTTATCTCTATAACCAGACTAAAAATAAATAAATAATTATTTGTTATCCACAAATTTTAAATAATGTGTCGAAACAAACAAATTATAGCTGAATACTATTTATTCAACAAAATATTCTTTAAAAAAAAAAAAAAAAAAAAAAAACAGTTGACACCAGTTAACTACCCATAAATGGGAAGTTAATATCCTATATCTTGTTTAAATAATGGTTAAAGCGAAAGCAACCGGTGCTGCTTACAAAAAGACCAATCTGGAGCTCTTGAAAGCAGCAGGACTGTGGGTGCATGAGCATAACTTTTTGTTTAGTCTGTTTGAAAGAGAATCGATCACACTAGTTGCGTTCCCAGACATGGTTATGTAATGTAATGTGTACTTGTATAGCGCATTTATTGTGTATGGCCATACACCCAAAGCGCTTCACAATCATCAAGGGGGGTCTCTCCACACCACCACCAGTGTGCAGCATCCACTTGGATGACGCTACGGCAGCCACAGGACAACGGCGCCAGTGCTACACACCATCTATAGGTGGAGTGATCGAGCCAATTTGGTGGATAGGGATGATTGGGAGGCCATGATCGTAAGGGCCTATTGAGGGACTTTGGCCAGGACACCGGGGTTACACCCCTGCTCTTTATAAGAAGTGCCCAGGGATTTTTAATGACCACACAGAGTCAGGACCACGGTTTAACATCTCATCCGAAAGACGGCGCCTACTGACAGCATGGTGTCCCCTTCACTTTTACTTGGGCATTAGGTCTCATACAGACCACAGGGTGAGCACCCCCTGCTGGCCTATCTAACTCCGCTTCCAACAGCAACCTAGTTTTCCCTTGTGGTCTCCAGTACCATCCAGGTACTGACCAGGCTCAGCCCTGCATAGCTTCAGTGAGTAACCGGTCTTGGGATGCAGGGTGATATGGCTGTATGTATGTATGTGTATATATGGCTGTACGGTTGTTTCAAGCAAGGAAACGGGAGCTCCCACATGTTTTAAACAGTCTCGCACATTACATCAGCTGTTGGCGCGAGTGATTGTCCTCTCATTCAGTATTCAACCTGCTTTCTTTTGCCCACACGAACAAAGTTATATTTGTCAGTCATGCTACTTTTCTATTATAAGATCGCAGTTGCACCAATATTGGGCCATCCTTATTGTCGAACCTTGCTTTTAAGAAAACTACAATTTAAAAATCATTTTCAACCAGCCATTATGGCTATGAGGTGGCTGTCTAACCCGCCACAGCTATGGCAGGTTGGCGGGTGTTAGTGTAAAGCCCTGGTCATAATTAATATTAGCTGCTTCAGTCCAGTGCCGTTTTAACTAAGACGTACTAATGTAAACGGGGCCTCTGTGTGTATTTTTTGTGAGCATGTTGCTTCTGCGACGGGGGCGGGGGCGGAGGATCGTGATGCCAGCACAGCATCATGATGTCTATCAGCCATCGGCGATGGGCGATGGTGTCATCTATTGACCCAACCCTACTATTGACCTTATTCGTCAATGCTGAAGTGCGCTCGTTTTAACGAATGCTTTAAAACTTCCGATTCAGTCGGATTAATAAGGAATAATAAACGGCAGAAAACGGTCAAACTACTTGATCTACAAACAAGTGTGTTAGAATAATATCATAAGAAAATCAACAACATCAAGCAGCAAAACGAGCTGTTTTTAACGTCTAAAACAGAATGGAAGTAAATGAGAGCTGAAGTCTCAAGCCAAAAAGATTCAAATGACTGCGCCCGCTTGTACACGAGTAATAAGGTCAATAGTATTCCAAAATGAAAATTTAGATTTCATTGGGGACTGGAAACTTTCATGATTTTTCCCGCTTTATTTCTTTTCCTCAGCACTTATTTAAAAGTGAGACCTACCATAAACGCTGATCGAGAGAAGGTGAGAATCATATACATTTCTAAATAACATGCACATGTTGATCTGTGTAGTTTTGCTAAACAACTATAAATAAAAATGCAGTCACCATCACCTGAAGTGTAATCATTCCCTAAGGTGATGATCATCCATCCTGCCTTTATAAAATACGTCTATGAGAGCTGGCTGCGGAAACACGGCAGTTACCCATCAACCGGATTCATTACGCTGATATTTGCCCTGCATATCTGCGATCAGGTAAAAGTTTCTTGTTTCATTACCTCCAGGGATTTTTTTTTTACTATAGTTATGAACTCAAGACTGATTATAAGGTAAAACGTTTTTCGGCATCGCTTGAAGGTCCTGTGAAGTGCTTCGAAATGTACATTTTTATTCGATGTATAAACATCGAAGAGAGGGTGGGACAAAAAGAACCGCCAATAGCATTTTGCTTTATCACCGGTCTGCCAGTGAGAGTGGTTGAGCTCAAGTGCATCAAATGAGAAGCGTCTTGAGGGGCGGCAGGGCATGTCAGACACTAGATAGCATTTGATTGGTGAGAAATTGGAGTATATAGTGATGTGAAAAAAAAAAAAAAACTTGATTCATTTAGGCCACGGAAGTGCACAAACTACAAGCTTTACATGTTTATATTAAACAATACAGAATTGTTTTATATAATGTAAATATATAGAGAAATAAGTGGTCACACTTTATAATAAGGTTCATTAGTTAATGTTAGTTAATGCATTTACTGACATGAACAAACAATGAACAATACATTTACTACAGTATTTGTTTGTGCTAGTTAACGTTAGTTAATGAAAATACAGTAGTTTATTGTTATTCATGTTAACTCAACTAATGTTAACAAGCATGGACTTGCATGTTAATAATCATTAGTAAATGTTCAATTATGATTAATAAATGCTGTACATGTGTTGTTCATGATTAGTTTATGTTAGTAAATGCATTAACTAATGAACCTTATTGTAAAGTGTTACCTAATAAGCCTATAAATGTACTGGTAGTTTAATACAAGGTTTTTGTAGCGTAACACACAACACCAACCCACACAATATATCACTTTAAAATATTAAAAATATTAATAAATGTCACCTTTTTTTAACTTTTCGAGGTTAAAAGTTGTTGGAAAAAAGATCAAGGTCCCAAACTGCAATACAAAAGCATAAATAAATTGGAGAAAATCAAACATGGATCACAAAATACAGAAAACGGCTCATTTTTATCCATATTGATTGAGTTTTCAGATGCATTATTTGCTCCGCATGATCATCCATAAAATAACATCAGTCAAGCGTTAAGAGAGTGGATTTTTGCGGAGCCTTATCGGCTCTATATTATTGCGTAATCCACACACATGCAGGCACACTAATCTAATTTAATATTTAACTTTCAGTTCGATAAAGTGCATTGGAGTCGCTGATATGCTGATTCTTCTGTCTCCCACACAGGTCAGTGTTTTCGGGTTTGGCGCTAAGCTTGACGGGAACTGGCATCATTATTTTGACGAAAGCTTAGCTCACTTTAACAGAGGCCGACATGGGGGAGATTATGAAAACAGAACCATACACAAGCTTTTGCTGATGAACAAGATTGCCTTGCATAAAGGGCTGTAATGTTGACATATTGGTACAAGTGAGGCACAAAAAAAGAATTATTTATATGAATATTTATCATCTATTTTCCTGTTTAATCAGGTGGGTTTTTTAACAAAAATGTTCGTATTTACAATGGCCTGACATACAGTGGGATAAATAGAGAAATAAATAATAAAGACATATATGATGTAGGACTGCAAAATGGTGCCGGAGTCCAAAACAATGCTAGAAAATTGTATATTTAGAGCTGCTGTTGTTACATTAAAATTGCAGCATCTAAATATGCAAACCTATGTGCTCTCACATGATTTATTTATTGTATTTGTGTTGTATTTATTCACACTGGAGCAATATTAGTGTATTTATTTTGTCCTGTACAAGAAACAAATGGCTGGGATCGATGTAGATAACACACAAATAAAATAAAAAAAACATTATAGCCACATAAAGGATGTCCTCAGGCGTAACTATCAATTAAGACTCCATACACTGAAAGAAAATGGTTCATTGCAATTGTAAGTGAATTTAAGCAAACAAATTAAGGTAAATCCAACCAATATCAATTGTTTACAGACACTTACCATAAATAATAATTAATAAATCCAACGTTTCATTTCCTTCAGTGTAAATGTAACCTGAATCTACCTGTATATGCTGTGATTGAATGACGTTAAGTATAAATGTTTGATGCTTGTCAAGCAGCTTCTTTACATTAAAATAAATATTAATAATTGTTATTGCATTGTAATTGTTGTGTTTGTTCAGTAATCCTTCAGTAATCCTAATCCTAATTTGTTGAACTCAGTAATTCAGTAAAAGTGTTACTGTAACTGAAACATTTGACAAATTCCCTGTATTGTAAGAAAACCAATCAGGCATTTGTCAAATTGTGCTTTAATACATTACACAATGCGCAAAGGCAGAATATTGTATAAAGCCAAGCCTATTTAATTGGTAGTGCAGTATGGTGATGGTCAATAATATTAAAAGTAATGCATATATAAAGATGTTCTCAAATTCGACACACTCGCTTTAAATGCTCTTTTATAAATGGGTTGCGAGTTGCGCATTATTTGATTTTAAATACTTGTCTCGAGTCACATTATGAAGCGTAAATCTAACCTGTGTCTCATTAACCACAAGTAAACTTCACTGTACAACTCTAAGTTAATTCAAACTCTTTGAAGAAACTGCAAAAGCATTTAAGTTTTAAAACCAAATGGTTTGAGTACTGTAAATGTATAAAGTTACACATGTATTACACATATACTGTACATTACACATACAGTTGATGTCTGAATTATTACCCCCCGTTTATTTTCTTCCCCCAATTTCTGTTTAATGGAGAGGAGATTTAGTTTAACACATTTTCTGAACATAATAGTTTTAATAACTCATTTCTAATAACTGATTTATTTTGTCTTTGCCATGATGACAGTATATAATATTTGACTAGATATTTTTCAAGACACTTTTATACAGCTTAAAGTGACATTTAAAGGGTTAACTGGGTTAATTAGGTTAACAAGGCAGGGTAATTAGGCAAGTTATTATATAACTGTGGTTTGTTCTGTAGACTATCGGGGGAAAAAATTAGCTTAAAGCGGCTAATAATTTTGACCTTAAAATGGCTTTTAAAAAATTTAAAACTGCTTTTATTCTAGCCAAAATACAACAAATAAGACATACTTTGAAAATTTCCCTGCTCTGTTAAACATCATTTGGGAAAAAATATTTAAAAAAGAAACCAAAATTCAAAGGAGGGCTAATAATTCTGACTTCAACTGTATATCATTTTTGTTTATATCGTTAAACATGTATAGTACTAGTAATCTAAACATTTCAGTAAGTTCAGTTATTAAAACGAATTAAGTCCAAACAACTATATTCTCAAATGCTTTGGTATATAAAGTTACACATAAAACGGCATTAATTCCCTCTACTCATTTGGTTTGAGTTCTCCTTAATATAATCACTTTATGAGTTGCCATAACTTTATTTTCATTACATCAAAGTACCTTTTTTAGAAAATAAGTTAAACTAACTTATTTAATTTAGCAATTTTTCACTGTAAGGTTTTACAGAGCAGTTTCTTTTTGAACAAAGGCCATGTTCGCATATACACATTTTATTTATGAACCGTTGTCTCTGCTTTTCTGTTTAAAAAAAAAGTCAACATAACAATCTGTAACAGTACTTGACTGACTGTAATCTAATATTTCCAGTTCTGTTGCGGTTTAAATCCGTCTTTGTGTTTAATATTTGTCTGCACAAACAGGCTGATTATCTGTAATCCTAAACGTATCATAATTAATATGAACATTTGTAATGTAATGCGTATTTATATAGCACATTTATTGTGTATGGCCATATACCCAAACATGAGGAGGGTCTCTCCACATTACTACCAGTGTGCAGCATCCACTTGATTGATGTGACGGTAGCCACAGGACAACAATGATTGGGAGGCCATGATGGGTAGGGGCCAATGGAGGGAATTTGGCCAGGACACCGGGATTACACCCTTACTCTTTACGAGAAGAGCCATGGGATTTTTTAATGACCACAGAGTCAGGACCTCATCCGAAAGAAGGTGCTCACTGACAGTATGGTGTCCTCTTTTCTGCACTGGGGCATTAGGACTCACACAGCCCCTAGGTTGAGCGTCACATGCTGGCCTCACTTACACTACTTCCAACAGCAGCCTTGTTTTCCAATGTGGTCTCCCATTCAGGTACTGGCAAGACACAGCCATGTTTAGATTCAGTGAGTAACCGTTCTTGGGCTGCAAGGTGATATGGCTGTGGCAATTATGGTATCCTTCAACATGGTGAAATTGTCCTCTACACTGTAAAAAAAAAAAAAAAAAAAAAAAAAACGGGTTGCCTTAAGCTGAATCAAATTAACCTTATGAGTCATTTGAACTTATATTAAACTGTGTGGTGACCCCCAGGGCTCTATTTTGGGTCCAATGCTCTTCAATTTATATATGCTTTGTCTTGGTAATATTATAAGGAAACATAACATCTCTTTTCATTTTTATGCAGATTCTCAGCTGTATGTTCCTTTAAATCTCAGAACTCCCTGCAGTCTCTGATTAATTGTCTTGAGGATATTAAATGTTGGATGGCAAAAAACTTCCTTCAACTGAATAACGACAAAACTGAGGTTGTTCTCTATGGCCCTTCAAAAACAAATTGGGGGCTTGGGAAGTCTTACACCATATGTTAAGTCGCAAGTAAAAAAAAACTCTGAGTTATCTTCGATTCTGAGCTTTGGCTAGAAAAACAAATTAGCTCAGTCATGAAGAATTGTTACTATCAGCTGAGGATCATCTCTAGACTCAAATCCATTCTTTCCTTTTAAGATCTGGACAATGGGCAAGCACCGTATATATCAGAACCTATTAACCTACAGTCAACTCCTCGGTCTCTTAGGTCGTCAAATACAATTTTACTGCAAATTCCTCGGTCACGACTTAAACTGAAAGGAGATAGAGCCTTTGCAGTCGCTGCTCCACGTTTGTGGAACCAGCTGCCACCGGACATTTTGAGTGCTGCTTCTCTCTCTATTTTTAAGTCTTAAGACACATTTTTATTGTATTGTCTTCTCAGGCTTTTAATTTTTATTTGGCATTGTTGCTGTAATATTATTATTCTTTATATTACTTTCATTGTTATTTTACTGTTTTAGAATGTGAGCTATGGTTTTGTTCAGCACTTTGGTCATTGCCACACTGAAGTGAAATGTTCTTTATAAATAAACTTAACTTACAATTACTTAAAAACATTCTCTTGACTAATTGATTGTATATTTTTTCACAGTATTTTAAAAATATTTTTTACAAAATTTATATATATTTTGTATATTTATATTTTTTCCAAACATTTCCACTTGAATCAATTTAATATATATATATATATATATATATATATATATATATATATATATATATATATATATATATATATATATGTATATATATATATATA